AACCTCCATACTGTTCTGCAGAGTGGCTGCACAGTTTGCTTTGCTCATATGTGGAATTTAGGAAACAAAACAAATGAGCAAAGGGGAAAAAAAAGAGAAGCAAACTGAGAAACAGACTCTTAACTATAGAGAACAAACTGATGGTTACCAGAGGGGAGGTGTAGGGGGATGGGTTATATAGGTGATGGCACTTGTGATGAGCACTGGGTATTGTATGTAAGTGATGAATCACTAAATTCTACTCTTGAAACTAATATTACATTATATGTTAACTAATTGGAATTTAAATAAAAACTTGAAACTAAAAATAAAATGAAATAAAAGGATGAACTTTCTGGCATATGAAGTATATCCTAATAAAAAATAAATAAAAAATATTTTGGGATCCTGTCCTTGCACTACTGAATCAGAATTGAGGTGGTGGGATGATTGCTAGGAATTTGTATTTTAACAAGCTCTCCAGAAGATTCTTGTGCACACTAGGTTTAAGAAGTCCTCTTTTAAGACATTAAATAATTTTATTTATTTGTTTTTAAAGATTTTATTTATTTATTGGAGAGACAGAGAGCATGAGCAGGGGGGAGGGGCAAAGGGAGAGAGAGAAGCAGACTCCCCACTGAGCGGGAAGCCCACCGAGGAGCTTGATCCCAAAACCCCGACATCATGACCTGAGCCAAAGGAAGACGCACCACCCAGGTGCTCCATAAAACATTAAATAATTTAAAAAAAACTCTAGCAAACTAGTGCTTATAATGTCCTTTCTGGCACCTTTCTCTCATTAAGGCTTCAGAGTATATCCTTATAGAGCTTTATAACAATGAAAAATTTTTCACAAGTATTGTAATAACAACAACAACAATGCCTATCATAGGTGCCAAACAGATTTTTAAAAACCATATAGTCAGATCACAGCACCTCATGTTCTCCAAATACTTTCTGATGACTCAATGCCATGTAAAGGCTTTTATTTTCTCCTGATCAGCTCTTTCTCCTATTCCCCTCAGCAATAAATTCCTGATCTGGTCTCTTCAATTCCTGATCTACTCACTCTCTGGTAGAAAGTTCCTCAATTCACATCTCCTTTTCTTCAGACTCTTCTATATTTGTACCTAGCTTTGTCTTCTTCCCATTCATTCATTCTTGTGTTGCTGATTTTAGCTGTTCTGACAGGTGTGAGGTGATATCTCATTTAGTTTTGATTTGTATTCCCCCAATGGGTGATGCTGAGCATCCAATTCATTCATTCTTATACTCAATTTCTATTCATTGAAAATTTCCATTGAGTTAGGAGCACTAGGAGTTAAATATACAATGATGAACAGGGTGGCCAACTTATAATCTAATGAAAAAAGTAAAAATAAAACAGTCAAGGAAACAAGATAGAGATTGCAATATGCAATAGATGCTATGAAGGAGGCAGAGTAATTTCATAGCTTGGTAAAAAGTAACATGGGCTGTGAGTGCTTACATTAAAATAATGGTCAATGAAGAGATGACATTTAAGCTGACTCCAGAAGCATACACAAGACAGAGACCTGCAAACAGCTTAGTGAAGAGGGCTTCAAACAGAAAGAACAGTAAGGGCAGAGGTAGGAAAGAGCGTGCTCACGCACGTGTGTGTGTGTGTGTGTGTGTGTGTGTGTGTGTGTTTGGCCATCATAAATCTGTTTTGTTTTGTTTTGTTTTAGATTTTATTTAATTCAAGTTAGTTCATATATAGTGTATCATTAGTTTCAGGGGTAGAATTTAGTGATTCATCAGTTGCATATAACACCAGTGTTCATTACATTAAATGCCCTCTTTAATGCCCATTACCCAGTTACCCCATCCCCCCACCCCAAGCCCCTCCATCAGACAGAGAGGGAGGCAAACCACAAGTGACTCTTAACTATAGGGAACAAACTGAGAGTTGCTGAAAAGTTTGTGTTTTAATAACTAAAAGAAGGCTGACGATGGCTAGAACTTGGTTAGAAAGAGGAAGAGTGGTGTGAGTAAGGTCAGAAAGATGAACAAGCCAAATCGTACAAAAATTTCTAGGCCAAGGAACAGAACTAATACTTTATTTTATTTCCAGTGAAAAGCCTTTCAAAGACTTTATGTTGCAAGAAGATATGACTCGTTTTATGTTTGAAAAAACATCTAATTTCTGCATGAAACAGTAGTGTAAAATTTGGACACAGGCTGAGGCAGGAGGATCGCTTGAGCCCAGGAGTTCTGGGCTGTAGTGCGCTATGCCGATCGGGTGTCCGCACTAAGTTCGGCATCAATATGGTGACCTCCCGGGAGAGGGGGGCCACCAGGTTGCCTAAGGGGGAGTGAACTGGCCCAGGTCGGAGATGGAGCAGGTCAAAACTCCCATGCTGATCAGAAGGCAATTCTAACAGTTTAGGTGAACAGTAGGCAAACTATATAATTCATGAGACTGCCACATGTTTTTGTAACTGAAGTCGTATTGAAATACAGCCAACGGTGACTTGCAGGCACCATGCCTATGACTGTTTTCATGCTATAATGACAGTATTGAATAATTTTGACAGGGACCATAGAGTCTTCAAAGCAAAAATATTTACCACCTAGTCCTTTACAGAAGAAGTCTGCCAACCCCTTGCCTAGATGAGAGATATGACGTGGATGGGGAGGATATCAAATGGAGATGTAGAGATGTTGGAAGATTATGAATATACTTTGTAGATGCAGCCTTCTCCACATGCTGATGGATTGGATGCAGGCAAAGAAAGTTCAAGAATTACTCCTAGCTGTTTGATGGAAACAAGAGAGTGTATAGTAATACTATTTACTGAGAGGCAAAAGACTGGAGAAGGAACATGTTTAGATGGTTGTGGAATTAGGAATTCTCTTTAAGACATATAGAGTTTGAAATGCCTGTGACATATCCAAGTGGAAGTATCAAGGAGGAAGTTGTACAGGAGTGTGAAACTCAGAGAAGTGGTCTGTGCTGGAGCTCTTGTGTGAGTAACATCAGCATGAAGAATGACTTGTGGAACCTACCTAGTGAGAGAGCTAAGAAGTCATGGTCTAGAAGAGTGGCTCAAGGACTCTTTTAGTGGTCTCCTATCTGAGAGTATTTGTCCTCACATTCAAGTCGTTTCCTTTTTTCTGCATTTCTGATCCCTTCTTATCTCCAGGTTTTGGCTCAGTACTTTATATAGATTTTCTATCATCCCTATAACAGGCCTGCAAAACAAATACTATTATGCTTTGTGTACATATAAGGAAAACACAGTTCCAGATAGCTTAATCATCTTGCTATATATCTTGTAAGTGGTAGTTTCTGATTCCAAGGCCCATGACCTTTCCCTTTGCCACATTGCTTCCCAGAGAAAGTCTTTAGGCCATATTTGGTGGGATGTGGCTAGAGAGTGCTGTCAGCTATCACTTCTTGCTGTTCACCCCTTCCTGGAGTGCAATCTGCTTTACATTATATATAAAAACTTCACAAAACTGGCCCTTTTCAGAGACCTATTCAAAGAGACCTCATGCAGACTCTCCTGTGATTCTAATATTTTGCTAAAGGCAATGATCTCATTACTTACAGATAACAAATAACAATTTAAGCAAAAAAAGACATGCATTAAAAAGATACTGAAAGGTTCATACAATTTCCAGCAAGGCCAAAGAACCAGTCTCAAAAGATACACATCAAGAAAAATGTCCAAAACCACATAGCAGAACCAGGCTGGTGCAGACAGCACAAGCTTCCCTCGATGGTCATGAACACCACAGTTTGCATTTCTCCTACACACTTGCAATGCTGGGCAGCGGATGCTTTCATGAGAGCTGCTGCAGCCGAAACAAGACGTAGCCACCATCACTGCCACTGTCCATTGCTGGAGTTACCCTACCTCCTCTAAATGGGTCTCACTACAGATATTTTTTTCAGTAAGTGCTGAAACCTATCAAGGGCTTCTGATAACATCTCCTGAGACATCTATTTAAATGCATGAGAAACCTCACTGAGGAGACAAAGGAGGATTTTCCCTATTTTTCATCATCTGCTGGCACCCAGCATCTTAATTACAAATACTAATTTTGTAGTAAGCCAAAAAATTCATCTTGCTTGGCATGGGGGACAGCTTTTTGGCCAGCCTTAGGTAGACAATTAATAGTATCATACTCAACAGATATTCATGTGCTTTTTTTCAGAATTATTTTTCAATTGGTAAGGCATTTGGATTGTAGGATCCTATAACTCTCTGACCAACTGTTAGCCAACAATTCTACAACAGATGTCTTTAGGTCACTAATCTTAAATAAAACAATTATCCAATGTTTATTCTAATACTTCCATAGTCATTTACGTTTCGATGTCATTTGCCTTGTGAATAGCCAACATTCATTTCATGTAGAGACAGTACAGTAACCCTAGCCATGAATTCCCCTTTGATACATTCTACTATCCACAGATCATTTAGCTTTCATCAATTAAAAGCTATCTGGACTCAATTTGTGGGGTCTTCTAAAAAAGATCCTCAAAGTAGGTGAGGTAACTGGTTTTTACTAGACTACTCTTGTGATAATGTACTAGGACCTTGGAGAGGATAAAAATAGCCCTATCGATGTCACTATTACTATAGTTCATGTTGGATTCCCATGTGATATAGCATTCATATGATCCATTCTTCTATTGTTACAATATCACATTTTTAAAATTGAAGTATGATTAGCATACAGTTGGTTATACTAATTATATGAATTTCAGGTATACGATATAATTATTTAACAATTCTATACATTACTTAGTGCTCATCTAGATAAGTGTACTCTTAATCTCCTTTAAAAAAATATGGAATCCTGGGATGCCTGGGTGGCTCAGTCGGTTAAGCATCTGCTTTCAGCTCAGGTCATGATCCAAGGGTCCTGGGATCGAGTGCCACATCGGGCTCCCTGCTCAGCTGGGAGACTGCTTCTCCCTCTCCCTCTGCCTTCCACTCCCCCTGCTTGTGCTCTCTCTCTCTCTGTCAAATAAATGAAATCTTAAAAAAAATATGGAATACTTCATGAATTTCATGTCCTTCTTGCACAGGGGCCATGTTAATCTTCTCTGTATTGTTCCAAATTTAGTTTATGTGCTGCTGAAGTGAGCACTGCAATCTCACGATTTAATCAAAGAATTTCAATCTCTCCATAATGTACCCTAGATTGGAAAAGCACCGGTACTCAAACAACAAAGACCTACTTTTGTTATTTAATGCATTTATTTCATAGACATTACTGATCACCAACTGTATGAGGGGAAAGGCTATTGTTATAACCTTAAGTGATAGGAAGGGCAGATGGTAATCAGAAAAAGGTCTTAGAAATTTGCCTTTCTTCTACCCTGTTTATTCACTAATTGATAGAGGCTTATCAGTTAGAGAATAGAATTTAGCACTTCAAAGTCTAGTTTGCCATTAAGAGACTATATCTCTATATATTTCTATCCCTATGGCCCTTCTCTGGTTCTGAGAGGTCTTTTCTTAGTTCCAAGCAATTCTCCTCTGGTGGTAGCAGTTACCTCATGGTGGTAGCAGAGATGCAAGAATGCCACTGGGACCTTGGTCTTTCAAGGATTGAGGATATGTAAACTCTACTTGGGGAAGGAACGCTGGCTAGCCACAAACCCCAAAGCTTTTAATGTGGAAGTCATGATTTCAACATGCTGTCATGACCACATTGGTGTCCATAACCAAGGTATGAGCTGAGATTCCAGGAATGTCTTTGTAATCTTCTCCTTTTGTCCCTATTTTAAACCTTGAATACCACTTCCCTATCTTGCTTCTCCCAAATTTTAGTTACTGCCACCAAAAATTAGGGTGATGGGGTGGTCACTCAGTATTCTCAGTTCATCTATGTCTACACGGAAGACTTACTTAGCTTCAGCTAGCATCTGTTCCCATATTTCCTAAGTGAACTTAATCTTCTAGAATTTGCTCCATTAATCCTCTCTCCACTGTCTTCAGAAATAGCTTTTTCAGCATCAGCACATAAGAGATTTCTGTTTTCTCCTGTCCTTTGGTGGATTTAACATACATATCTCTTCTTTTTCCATTCATTTCCTTTCCTTTTCCTTTCCTTTCCTTTCCTCTCTTCTCCATATTCCAAATATCTCTTCAATAGTCTTTAATAGTAAGGCCACAGTCTCAGAGATATTCATAATCTTTGGTCATTGAACAACCTCCAGAGGAGAACCTTGTCAACGGATTTTCATCAGTCTCTTTCTCTTTTAGCTGATTATTTCAGCTATCTTTCCCTAGGATTATGTAGCCTCCTACCAGAAAGATGTAGTCCTGTGACTACAACCATGGTTTTTGATATATCAGAGAGTCTGTCATGACCATTAAGACCTATCCAATCACTGGTCCTGAACTATAGCCCAAATTTCAGAGAAGTCTGCCTGGAAAACTAAGAAAAACTGGAGCTTCTATGTACTGAAAAATTCCCTCTTTTTCATTTGTTTTTAAACTTTGGTAACCATAAGTACTGACTTAGAGATTAGTTCCTAAGGGATCCTCTTTTTTTGCCACCTTGGACAGTTCCCACAAACCCTAGGTGTCCCTCTCTCTCAGATGCTATGTATTCATCTAAAGGCTCTGATACAGGAAGAGAAGTGGTTTAACAACTGCTCCATAATCTCTAGGTGGTCTTGTTGAGACCAGCAGACATAGGAAGGGCCAATATGAACTCTTCAGTTTGTTAGTTCATATAACCCTTTAGTTCACATTTTAGCAGCCATGGGAAGGATGTCCCCACAAATTCTATCTAGGGATAGTGATGTCTGAGATGGGGAAATGTGTGATTCCTCTCTCCTTCTTTATGCCTGAGGCATCACAGGTGCCTGAAATACACAATGTTTAAAGCCCTAAATGTAAGTGTCAAGGCTCTCATAGGCTAGGTGGGCTTTTGGCATGTAAGATGTTATTAAGTTATGAAGTCTATTATTCTCTAGAAATGACTCCTTAATTTACATTCCCACTCACCCCTAAACCATTTTCAGGTGTTAGTTTCCAGGCAGGTAAGCAGTTGTCCCAGTTATCAGGATCAAGAATAACACTGACCAGAGATAACCTGCTGTGGTCACATGTTTTATGCTTGTCTTGTGGGTTGCCTTTCTATCACTTCCCTGTGCCTCAACGACTAGGCCAACACTCTACCCTGTGTGAGGAGTTAAAGAGGACAAGAGACTTTTCCTCCTGATTTATCAATAGTGCAGCCTTGTTCATTTCTTTTTTTGTCCTCTTCTTATCACAGAAAGACTTGCCAGGGGAGTTGCTCCACTCAGCTGTAAGCCTGGACCAGACCTTATCTTGCTATAGCCCTAGTCGGTTGATTGATGATTGTTTTGCTTATGCCACAGTTGGCCACCAAAACAGGGACTTGCATTAGCCTTCTTTCTGTATGGATGGACACATTTAGGGGGAGCCTTTCCAAGACCTACTTAACATCCATCTTCAGAGCAGATACCTTTCCCCAGAGTGCCACAACAGATGTGATTTAAACCTCAAATTTTACACTAAAACATTTGTTTCATGTTCAACATGAGATGGTTTTGCTTCAATGTTTTACTTAAATATTTATTTGTTACTGGTCAACTCAGCAAACACTGGGGCTTATGGAAAACCCCTGATACTTCATGACACAGGTAAGAGTGAGCTGTCTGTTGATTTAGATCAATTCTAATTCTACAACAATTAGCTGTATGAGATGTTGGAGTGCGAAATAGGAGATTCTCAATAAAAACAATATTAATGCCCAACTGTGCATTTCCGTTTCTGAGATCAGTCATCTCTGAGTTGGGTTTCGCCAACCTGATTGCCTTAATCATGTTGATACTTGTGATACAAATCTTAGTATTTAATGTTTTGGTAAATACCAAAATTGTGAATTGGCTCCAAAATGATTCAAGCATGCTTATGAATCATAGAAATCTCAAATGGTATGATTGGATATGAGCTAATATTTGGATTTACTAACATATTAAAGGTGTATATATTGGAGAAATGGGCAGAAGATAGAATTGACAGAGTAAATATAATAAAACATATCCTTACAGTTTTTTTATTTATTATTGTGATTGAATAAAAAAATATAATTCTATATTTACATAATGCTATAATACATCTATCATTTCTCCAAGAGCGGGGATTATAAAGAGATCTCTCACTTGTAATTTTCTTCATCATTTGATAGCCATGTTCACTAAAGCTGGAGTCAGTGGCCTCTGGCAATTGTTGCTGACGTTGAATAAATTAGTCTTAACTGTCCTTATGCTGCTAGGACACATGATACTGGTTTATAGCTGAAAAAAATAACAGGATGTGGTGTAACATGACGCACTAAATCCTCTGCTGAATCAGGCTTTTGTTTTTCTCAACTATCTTCCTCTTTCATCTGGCAGTTGATCTAATTATGCCTTACCTCTATTCATGAAACCTAAAGGTCTAACTAGGTCAACACTAGAAAGACTGTGACTGTTGCCATTCCTGTTGCCACTTAATTCTTCCTCTAAACAAGCACTTTAACAGGTAAGAAAGGCCTTACTTACCTAAATATTTGTTACAGAATAAGCCCAATTCTTGGCTCTCCTGATCCTTTTTTTTTTTCTCTTTCTTTCATTATTTCACCACTAGCCAGCCCCACTCTATCAGGTAATAATAAACAACAGCTAATATTTAATGACAACTACTTTGTGCAAAGTACATTTTATGAATTATCTTAATTTAATCCTGCCAACAACAAACTCTTTTAACCCATTTTTAGATAGGCATATAGAAGTTTAGAGAGGTTCAGTGGCTTGACTAAAGTCACATGGGGATGTGGTGGAAGTGGAGCTCAAAATCAGGCTTTGTGACAGCAGAGACCATTCAGGTAACTGACACCTGATAGTCTTCCTTGCCTCTCTCCCAAGGTCCATTTTGCATATGCACAACTTTACCTGCTGAGGATGGGATTTGACTTTTTACAATGACAGGACAGGTGTGTCAAAGTGTCAGCACTTTCCATGCTCTTGCCACTTGCCGTCATCCCCAACCATTTGTCCATATCTGTCTCATCATCTTTTCTCTATGACATTTTTTATTCATCAACTATTTATTCAGCTTCTACTAAGTACCAGGCAATGCTCCCAGCACTGAAGATATAGCAATAAACCAATTAATGTTTCTCTCTCAAGGAACAGGCATTCTGCTGGGGGTGACAATTGATGAATAAGGAAAAAAAAGTGTGTGTGTGTGTATATGTGTGTGCATATTATAAAGTGTGTTCTAAGGAGGACTCTAATGCAATGATATTTGAGCAAAAGCCTGAAATAAGTGGACAAACTTCAAAGCTTTAGGAAAAAAAGTATTCCAGGCATATAGAACAGCAGGTGCTAAGATCCCAAGGTAGGAGTTTGCTTTGTATATTTAAAAACAAGTGTATCTGAGCATTATTAGTAAGAAGTAGTTAGAGGTGGTAAGATTGGAAGATTTGTGACTTGTAGGGTATAATGAGAACTTTGGATTTTCTCTGAGTGAATGACAAAGCCATTTGGAGGATTTTAAACAGGAGAGTGAAATAACCTCTCTCACTTTTTAAAAGTATACCATGCACTATGTGAAAAATAGAACACAGGGAAGTGAAGAAAGATGAAAAGAGATCAGTGTGAAATCTTTTACAACAATTCAGTTGCAAGATGATGATGCCTTCATTAATAGTGGGATCCTTATAGCTGGTGAGAAGTTTTTGAGTTGGGGGTGTCTTTGAGAAGTAAAGCTAATGGGACTTGAGGATGAATTGGATTCAAGGCATGATATACATGATGTATTAAGAATGGCTCTGAGATTAGCGTGAGCAAAGTGGAAGCATGAAGTTGCCATCATTGAGATAGGGAACTCAAGAAGATTAGATGGGGGATGGTTTGAGGTTTAAAGTTTTATTTGGGTCATGTAATGTTAGAAATTCCTATTCATTCAAGTAAAAATTTAAAGTATTACACAGCTGGATATAGGAATGTGTAGTTGAACAAGAGGTTTGGCTTGAATTATGTAAAGTTGGGAGTGATTATCACATGGATGGTATTTACAATCAGAGAACTGGATTAAGTCACTTATGGAAGTGACTATAGAATA